GGCTTGGAAAACCCCGGAGGAGACGTACAGCCCGCGGGCTTCGAGGCCTGGCAGAGGAATTACACAGCAAACCGCTCCCTTTGCAGGAATGGGAGCTCGAGCCCCGGCAGCCATGGGCTGGGTGTGTGGGGATGGAGGGGGGCGGCCGAGGGGTGATACAGGGTGAGCCCCAGTCCTGGGGTGGCCTGGCTGTGGGCTTTCCCTTGCGGGCAGGGATCAGCCAGCCAAATCCAAAAATGGGTTTTATCGTGGCAAAGAGGCTGTGGGAGCCTCACTCAGAAATGAGAGGCAAGTACGGCACTGCACACCGGCTGCAGCCCCATCAGCATTCTGGGGTGTGCTGAGGTACGATGCTGTTATTTGTTATTATTTGCCCCGGAGCAGCACTTTGGGACTGGGGCGTGCTGGGCAGAATGCAGATGGCAGGTAGAGGTGTTCTCTGACGGCCCATCAAACCGTGAAGTGAGAGGGGAAAGGTGGAGGCAGGGAAATGGGATGGGAGATCCCAAATCCAAACCAACCTGAAGATAGCTGGTACCCATCACTCTGTTTTCTTATCAGGGTGCCTCTTGGCAGGACCCACCTGTGTACAGGGGGTTCCTGTAAGGGAAAGTGTCGAAAGACATGGATCACCCCTCAGCTTGGGGGTGCTGTAGGATGCTCATCCCTGCAGCAGGCAGTCGGCTGCCCCGGGTGGCCCCTGGCACTGGGTCTATAGGGTGCTATAGTAGACACTGGTGGGTGTTGTCTCTGGATGCTTTGGTCCCTGGCTTTGAGGCTGCAGTTGGGGAATTCCTGCTAAATCCCTCCCGGAGGCAAATTGCCATCAGCGAGCGTCACCCAGGGGCAAGGTTGGGGCCAGATCCTGAAGCCACTGTCTGAGCCTTTGCTCTCTTGTCACTCCACCATAAACCTGACTGTGCACCCTGAGCATTTTGTTTGGTCCAAATACTCCATTTCGAAGCCATTTGTGACCGCCTCGCCAGTTGGAAATGGATTTACACCAGCAACATGCTTTATTCCCAGCAGCCCAGCACATTTGGCAGGGGTTGGGTATACAGTGTCCTGTGAAACAGCTGCAGAAACATTTGGTGGGAGAGCTGTTAACAGAGACACCTCTGTGCCCTGGGGCTCTGGCGGGAGGTGCCGCGGCTGCCGGTTTTGGAGAGACCCCACGGGACAAACAGCTGTTGCTCTGCACGGACAGGAATCGCACCTGAAATGGTCCTGTGCAAAGTAATGGCCCATCCAGGGGGGAGCTGAGAGGGCACAGAAGGCTCCAGAGCGCACTTCTGGTACCCGGGGCCAGCTGTGGCCCAGATGTGAGCTGGTTCACATAGCAATCGCTCCCTTTTATGGACCGGCACCCTGAGCGACCCTGGCTCCTGGCCGCGTAGTGATACTGGTGGCCAGGCGGGGTGGCCCTACCGCTGACGCGGCGACCAGCTGGGGACAAGGCTGTGCTTCCAGCCGCAGGGACAGCCACCGCGCCGGGCGCGGGCTGCGCAGCGCCGA